ATTCTACATAAAATTGTCTAAAAAATATACCGCAACAGCATATGTCTATCTTTTATGGTTGACTCACAATAACACGTGTAACTCCCGATAGCTTAGCAGTTCGGAGCATCCTGATCATATTTGTTTACTCTTACGTTTATAATACTCTGACTTATCCCTAATTTAAAAAAGTTAACATTATTACCTTTTCAATAAAAACAAAACATAGAAATCGGTATAGAAACACCAAACCTATACATGAAATAATGTCGAACGCGCCGTCGCACGTGAATACTGAATCATGCTATAAGGATTATTTTTGTGTAAAAGGCGGGAGGTCCGAGAGCGAGCTGTCTAAATCTGTTTTCTGCGTCGCTCCCCCCCCCCCCCCCCCTGGGGGACGATCGCTTCCGATGAAGCCTTAGAGGCCTTCCCGGCCAGAGGCAGCCCCTACGGGTGTTTTTTAGTCAGTACGAGTCTGACATAACCTTGCAGCCGGCTGTAGGGTATCCATGAGGATTTCTCACCTGCTCCCCCGTCTGGCAAGAAACAAAAAAATAAAAAAAAGAGAGCGAGCGAGCTTCAATATTTGGCTGTTGATGAGTTCAGAGCGTTCGACCTTATTGACAGACAATAATTGAGAAATATTGAGAAACCGTGCTTATCAGCGCGACTTTTAGTCTTTAAATAGTTTATTTGAATTTCTTTTGTTGTTATTTTGTAAAATAGGTATTAGTTGTTTTGGTACTGTTGAAATATTCGTTCAAATTAAAAATTATTAAGCGTAGGTACTTTTATTAATTAAAATAGTTATAAGTATTTATTTTTAAGTGAAGTAGGTATAGGTAGATAGTATTGCACAGGCGTTTTAGCTTTATTTTCATTTCTTTTTTGTTGTGAGTTGTATATATTTCTGGTTATAATTCTATAAGAATATTTTAGTTTAAATAGTCACTTAGATTTTAAGTGTTAGGTAGCTAAAGTTAGGACCACGTATTAGTTGTTTTGGTAGTGTTTAAATATTCGTTCAAAGTGTAATTTAATCATATGGGATGAATGTACGATGGCCCATCGAAAAGGAGTAGAAGCGGTAGACAGAACTTAAAGGGATATAAGACAAAATAATCGAGCAATGGGCGGTATCACAGTTTTATTTTGTGGTGATTTCCGACAAACCTTACCGGTAATACCACGGGGAACCCGAGCTGATGAGGTTAAGGCTTGCCTGAAAAGCTCTTATTTGTGGCGTGATATACATCGGTGCATTTGACTATAAACATGCGAGTGAGAACTGTAGATAACCCGGATGATCGTGAATTTTCTGATATATTATTAAAGAAAATACCTTCACCAAAGATACCTATCCACTGCTACACCAAGGAAAACTTATTCTGACGCCTGAGTTATGTTGTATAGTGCAATCCCAACAACATCTTACATCGTCAGTTTACGGTGACGTAACAAATATATATTAAATAAGGACAATTCTTGGCTACGCGAAAGGTCCATTTTAACTCTTCGCAATGACCAGGCATCTGAGATTAATAATAAAATACTGTCGAATATCCAGGGGGAAAGCAAAGTTTATAGTTCAATAAATAGAATGGCCGATGAACAAGAAGCCACTAATTACCCGATAGAATTTTTAAATTCTTTAAATATGCCCGTACTTCCTTCTCATGAAATTTGTTTAAAAATTGGCATTCCGATTATTCTGCTCCGAAATTTAAGACCACCACAACTTTGCAATGGAACTCGGCTTAAAGTAACCCAGTTGCAACAAAATGTAATCGAGGTTCAAATTTCAATAGGTTGCGGTGCAGCAGAAACCATCTTTACTCCCAGAATTCCCATGATACCAAATAATTTTCCATTCTAATTTAAAAGAACGCAATTCCCAGTATCGGTGTGTTATGCAATGACAATAAATAAGGCTCAAGAGCAGACTTTTCGTAATGCTGGAGTAGATCTCGGTGTCAGTTGTTTTTCACATGGTCAGTTATGTCGCTCTTGCCCGGGTTAGTAGTCCTAGAATTTTTTATGTTCACGTGCCGGACGGGTCAACTTTTAACGTACTTTACCCGGAAGCTTTGCGCTGAAGTATTTTCATTCTATATGTACTTTAGCCTCATGTGAAAGCGATCTAAACAATATTACCAATACATTAACATAATAACATACAAGGAGTTACATGCTGATGATCTCGGGGCACAGTGATAATAATAATATTCTGCGGTTCCTTATTGCGATATTTCTAACAGTATTGTGGATTGACATATTATATTTCCCTACTAAAATACGAAGTTAATCTGTCTGTCACATCAAAACCACGGAACCCTGAGGAAGGACATATGCTACTTTTTTACGAAAAACGACGAAAACGCGGACGAAGTCGCGGGCAAAAGCTAGTACCACATAATTTGTTATCGTAATGTCTTCTCAGTGTCGTTACGGAGAAAATATCATATCAAGTTATCAAATGCAAACCAATTTAAATATTAGAATCAGAAGATATGTTAACATTTTGTAATTATGCACTTTGATGTGAATATGTTTAAGATTTCTGGTATTGTATCATTGTTTGTTTTTCTTTTCTTTTCAATTGGCAATATGTACGAGTCACGTACAGTAATCTTGTATATCTGCAGAGCAAGCATAACCTACTTTAATCACGTAGCTGTATCTAAGAAATGCATCATAATACGTCATTGTATTAACTAAATAAAAACACATATTTTACATAATAAATCAATGCTCGTCATGCATTCAACAGTAACAGTTGTCTTCCTTCCTTCATCCTAATATCATTATGTAGGGGGTCACCCCTACATTATATTTATATGAATATTTTACGTTGTATTAGAAAGTTGACTGAGTTGAAGAATTTTACGCGCAATTGAAATTGACCTTTTGTTGCTCAGGAACTCCCTACCATTAATTCATTCGCAGGATGTGACATTATATCCGCTTTTATATAATAAAGGTAAAAATAATTTTTTTTTTTTTTTTAATGAGGATCCGAAGATACGTGCCCTAGCTGAAACTTTTATGATTGAGGACCAAAGTGAAGAAGTACTTTTTAATGATGGTATTTATTGTATTTTCACACTGTACGGTGCTAAAACTGCCAAAAACTTGAATGAACTTCGCTATAAACGTTTCATAGCGTTAGCCACTAAGGATAAAAGCGTTCAACTTAATTCGCTGCATCCTACAGAGGATGCAGCGAAATAACATATCAAAAGAGTATATTTACAAATACAGCAGTGGAAAAATGATTTACCAATACCTCCCGAAAAATGGGGTTGGCAAAAAGATAATTATTTAACTCCAATTAAAATGACGCAACCCGCAGCACCCGAAAACGTCTTAAAAGAATATTCTGCTCCTGTAAAACAAGATGTGGCTCAGCGTGTGGCTGCAGAAAAAGTGGCTTGCATTGCTCACCTGCCTGCATCGTTTGCAGTGGAAGCGACTGTGATAATCACCCACCACCCGAAGAAGATGATAATAATGAAGATTAAGTTTCCCTTTTTCATGTATATATGTTACAATAAATTTTATACATATTATAATATATTTTTCATGTTGTTGTATACATTAGTTTGAAACTACTTGAACCTATTTCCACATATAAGTACTTGTAAATAATTATTTACATTTCTTTTTTATTAATATTCTTTTTTTATTTATGTTAATAATGAAAGTATTAATGTCTTATATTTCATGAAATATATCCTACCTTTTTTATGTATCTCAGCGTCATGTCATTATATTAGATGAAAGATCTTATAATTGTTTTTTTTTAAGATTTTGATATAATAACATGTAAATTAAAATTATTTGTATTAACAATATGAAAACAATAACATAAACATATTTTTTTTGTGAGTTTTCAATTGATATTTTATAAAAAAAAATCCAAAAATGTCATAAAAATTGTTTAAACAATATACAAAATAGTTGAAAGAAATACTATTTTTTTTTTAATAAACGACGAACGTCACGTTGCCGTAGACCTCCCGTCCCCCCTTGTCACATCTTGTCACACTTAGCAAGACCCCTCCCCCCCCTTGTATGCGAACGTATTTTATGAACGGCCCCTAAGAAAAAATATGGACATTGGGTCAAATAAAATATTATTATAACTGTGAAGAAGCAACAGACAGACAGACGCGCTTTCGCGTTTATAATATTAAGTTTGAATTGATATACTGGTATGTACTGTGTATATGAATAGAAACAAAATAAATGGGTATTGATATTCGTAGATAGTAGCATATTAGTGATAGTGATAACGAAATGACCCCCCGAGTCGCTCGATTTAAAGGGACACAGTAGCAACACAAATTCAGTAATGTCATGAAAATGTATTTTTGAAAAAGTTATTATTTTATGCACTTAAAAAGGTAGGGTTAAACAAATTCTATCTTTTTTTTTATTTGATTTTTTTGAGTCTAATTATTGATTATATTTACATATTATTATTTAAATTACAAAAGCTTAAAACTAATTATTGTCTAAAAAGTTAAAAACATGATTAACTAATACAACTCACAAAAAAAAAACATCTTCAGCGCCGACGACGTCAGAAATGGTGCCCTAGGCTGGCCGAAACGGCCAAGGAGAGAGGCTTGCTTCCAAGCGTTAGAAGAATATAAACAATTTAGAATTCTGGAAAGTGTCTCCATGAGCGAACTGTCTATAGATGGCAGATTGGATAAACAATTAACGATAATAGCGATTAAATAAATAAAACTTATTTTGATTATATGTTTTGTTAGAAAATTGGCGCAGCAGACCCGGCTTTAGATCAATTCAGACGAAATAGTTGCATATTACATACGATCATAATCCCGGCTGCCGCCCGTGCCCATGGCAAATAATGCTCATGACAAGACACCTCGAAGTCCAGAGAAAGTTAGTCTACTGCTTGGCATGTATATTGTGACAAAGCCGAACTTCTTATCATACTTGCAAATGAAAAACGTCGAATAACCAGCCATGTTTCGTCATCGTCAGTAGCAAAATGGCTCTCAAGGCGGGTGTGCGTGTATTCAGGCTCAATGGATTGCGACCAGCTGTGCGGGTACAGTTCGTGTTAATTTTCTACACTCGATTTATTATAAGTGTACAATTCAATCAAATGTTTTTGTGATATGATGAAGAAGTTTAAATTTCCTCTACAGTGACTGTATGTTTTGAGTATTATCAAGTTTTTTTTTCGGCGAAGGCAATCCGAATCACATGTAAATAAGCGCAGTGATTACATTGGTTCTTTACGGAACGTCACACAGAACTGCGTAAGCGTCACAACTTGTTTTTACTCGGTTCGATTATCTATCTCTTTACTTAAGAAATAATTTGTAATAAAATCGAATGATCATAGCACGGTAATATTATCTTATTATTACCGTGATCATAGTATTGGAGATAGAATGGTGTGTTCGTATTAAAAATAAAGTGCCAATTGTTAGCATCAGTGTTTAGAATGAATATTGGAAGGGGTTTTATACTATTTTTACAAAAAAAAATATTCATAATTTTACTAAATACCCACGAAAAAGATAATAGTTTTTTTAACTATTGTCACGTGACCCAAAACGCTTGTGATTGGCGGAGCCTAAAATGACGTCACACGGAAGTAAACTTCCGGTTATAGTGACATTACATTGTATCGTTTGACGTTTTAATAACAGCCTTGTGACGTCACACACTAGCGAGACGCCATATTGTCCAGAAAAAAGTTTTCGCGGCAACTTGAAATGGAGTTTTTGATTTGGTTATTTTTACTGAAATACACAACAGAATGATGAATATCCACTTTTTACGGACTCCATTTACATTAGTCAATAATGTGAGATCGTTTTCTAAAACTTGTCAAATACCCTTTTCTTTGCCTTAATTATGCTAATACATTTGAGTAGGCGTTTATAAGTAAATAACAACTTTTGTAAAGTCAACATTAATTAAATCTGATCGGGACGCAAAATATTTTTTTGATGTTTCCCACAACTCCTGTGTCCGCTTTTAATATGTACTTAAATCTGAAGAACTCGCGACGGAAAGTCCCCAATATAAACGACATAGTAACGAAACAAATGTTGTTACGTTAATGATAAACACGTTACCAGATACACATAGCATATTATATGTTATGGGCTAAGTGATTAATCGTGCATTATTCATAATGCACGGGCAATATGAATGATGCCCAATAAGAGCGGGCAATGTGATTATAACCAATCAATTTATTTATCAAATTTTCCTAGCCTTAAGCTGCAAGGCAGCTGCAGCTTAAGGCTGCGAAGGATGCGGGTTCGAGTCCCGTCCGCTGCCTGGTCCGCGTGGATTTTTTTCTAGTAAACTTTTCTTTAGATTTAAACATCTAGCAGTTAAATGCTTAAAAAATAAATAAAATCATAACACATTTTATAGTTTAGTATTTATTTTTAAAATTTAAATAAATCAGACTTTGGTTTTATTTCGATTCGATATATTCGTAAATTACGAAGGACTACATTTAGAAACTATAGTCTTTAGTAGTTTCAAAGCAGTTTGTTTGAAAAATTCATTAAATCTGTAAATGTTCAGATTTAATGGTGCTCTATTTTTTAGGATGCAAGGAATAGGGAAGTAAGAACCAGTACTTCTGCCTAATCTCCGGCGCTGCGGGAATAGCAGCCCCTCCGCCTTTGCGTGACAAAGTCATAAGCATCACTCCCCTTAACACCTTCTACCCCGGCCACCTACCACCTCCGGCGGCGACCAACAAGCCGCGGCTACGGGTCGCACGATGCTTGCGGCTTTGTCACAGCAGGCGGGGGCTGCTCTCCCTCCGCGCCTCCAGGCTCTAAAAAACACTCGAGAGGTAGGACAGACCAAGACCACGTCGTTTCGGGGTTGACCAAGTAGGTTCTGAATTGACGACCTACTTGGCCGAGTGGTTTGTACGCCGGATTTCATGGTGTCGCCGACTCGAGAGGTCCCAGGTTCGAACCCGGTGGGGGCAGATGTTTGTGTGATGAATACGAGCATTTGTACTCCAGTCATGGATGTTTAATATTTATTTCTATATAAATATACTTATATATGTATTCTATCCGTTACCCTAGCATCCCATAACACAAGCCTTACATTGCTTACTTTGGGGCTAGGCTAATTGGTGTGAGTGTTGGAAATATTTATTTATTATTTATTTAATTAAAGACTGTTGTAAAGCCACATTTACTTTTTGTCTGAGTGTTGAGCCCATACAATTTTTTATTTTCCAAGATCTCGAAGCAAACACAAAATGGCGAGACATCTGTCATTTTGACAATAGTACCAACGTTATGAATTTATTCATACTGCCCGGTCCAAACGATAAATTCAAGCTTTCTAAACACTGACTTATTACATGGACCACGAGCCGTCCGGCATTATTAATAATGGCCGGGCAATGTGATAAATAGGTGAGTTTAGATTGTAATTAATCACTTGGCCCGATATGGCTGGACATTATTCATTCATTCTGGCATTATGAATACTGCCCGCATTAATCACTCGGCCCATAACATATACACTACTTCTTCATACTCTAATTTAAATGATATATAACTTAAAAGTTTATGCTCAATGGTTGCGATGCACAGCTCCTCTCAACTCACACAAGGCCCGAAGTCCAGAATGCCCAGAATAGCAAGGTGGCTGAGTTCCCCGGCGCCCGCGCACCCTACATCTCTGAGCTGAAGTTCGTCAGCGAGACCAGCTACGACCCCATCCCCATATACAGGGTGCTCGACCACAATGGAGAGGTAAATGTAGTCTAATCTAAATTGTTGTATTTTTAAAATAATCAAGTAGGTACATTTTTAGCACATCGTTTTGTCGACATAACTGGCATGTTTAAGGTATTAGACTATTATGATATTTTTGTTCAGAGGCAGGGGCGTATTTATCCTGGGGCCATGGCTAGGGACGGCAGAAGCCATATAAAGATAATCGTTACTGACCTATATTTTTATTCGATCAAATCAAAATTAGATCAACAGTCAAAATAAATTGTTAACTTTTGCCTTTATTTACACTAAGGACTTTTGTGTGATATTACAGTGTGTTGGATGTTAGTAGCTTACGTAGTTTTTATTTTTGCTGGGAGCAAGTATTAAATATTGTTGAATATATAGCTATGATGTTTATTTCGTGTTGACAGGTCATCGATAGTAAAGAAGAGCCGGCTATTGAAAAGGACACCTTAGTTAATATGTACAAAACGATGGTGCAGCTCAGCCAAATGGACAAGATATTGTACGAGTCTCAGAGGTAAATCAAATTCTTGGTACAGGTAGTACTTTCAATATTATAGTAATTTATATTTGTTTCGAAATGAATGCGAAACGTCAATAAATAAATAAAAATAATATGATCCTTTGCAGGAATGCGTCGTTTATTCCGACGCTAAAAGGATGCGAAACTTTAATAAATAAATAAAATCAGTGCATCTAACCCGTTGAAACTTGTGTTATAGTAATTTATGTTATTTACGGGATTGTTACCATGTAGGTACTTGTTTTTAGCGAGTTTCCGATATTTCGGCACTGTTGGAAGCGCCATGATCACGGAGTAACTGATATTAAATATTGACTTTCAATATTGACTCTTACTAGATCCAATCCAGCATGCGGGACAGCGCTTTATACGTACAGGAGATGAAGATTTGAGAGAGGCATTGCATAGCGGATTTTCCCGCTCGAATTGAAACGCCCGTCTGGGGAAGTTACCTCCACATACAAAAGACAAAGACACAGTAAAATAACACTGTGTGATTAAGGTAGACTCGCGGAAAGACCCGCTCTGTCACCCATAATGCCATAATCGCTTGCGGTAGCGGCGTAGTAAAAATTCATTCATAGACATGTAATTATCGCTGTCTTACTTTTTCGTATAGCGCTCTCGCGATCACGATGCGGATGACAAATTGCAACTAAAACAAATGTAATTCAATTCATTTATTCAATCAATGAAATGCTCTCTGTCTTACTTTTGTGCGGCGGCCCGGATTGGCGCGTCCGACGCGAAGGCGAGGCGTAGTAAAAACTACTGTAGAAAACCGTTCAAAGCATTTTCTTCACCAAGTGACAGAGCGCAAAATTCCGCGATAGTACCAGGGCTCCACAGGATAGGGGATGGGGTCGAGTGATAGTTTGTATCCTTGCGATACAGCGTCTATAGCAGAGTGCTCAAACTTCAACCGCTAGCGATCTACCTCAAAATTTTTAGACTACTTACGATCGACTCTGAGAGGCTGCAAGTATGTGTGATGCAGGGTTGTCGTGCACCCGGGAACCAGCGGACTGGTGTGGGAGCGCAAGCCCGCATTGCACGCGTTCCTGTGATGGGTGGGTGCCCCTTTTACTCCGGGGAACCGCACATCGGCGTAGGGTCCGGGAGAGGACAATCACCGGCGGGCGCATGGACAGTCCCACTAGGGGTACCATGTATGCCCGCCCCCTGACACGTATGTCAGGACTGCAGTCCTCGGGATACGTGTCGGGGAAAGGTGCTGGAGTATTGTTTGGTTTTTACTGGGTAGGGCCCTGCCTGCTTCACTCAGTCAAGAGGCTGGGTGAAGAGGGTGGGGAGGAGTCCACAGATACTTCCGTGGGAATGGATTTTCCAAACATGAAAAAAAAAGTGTTGTCGTGTCGTGCATACACGAAACACCCCACCTACCTACCTAGATAGGGTGTACCGTAGCATATATCGTCGACCGTAATTTCAATTGGCGTAAGGGACAAAAATGAGAAAATCACTTTTTTAGCGTTCTACACTCAGTTTGAAATTCTCTATCGAATGGTATATTTGAATTGTTGATATCTTGCAAAATTGGTTCGTTAAGACCCAATTTTTTTTATACTCTAAAAACGTTTTTGTGTAAAAAAAGACTTTAAGGGTCTCGGTTATCCAGACTTAACGTCGTATGTAACACTATGTAAAGAAGTAGTAGGACATAATTGATATACTATATTTTCACATCCTTTACGATCACAATACAAATTTATCATTACTAAGAAATAGGTCGTAAATGTCACACCCTGTTTTCAAGCATCCTTTTTTCTGATATTATGTACGTAGTAAATGTCATACTCTGTTTTTGTGTCAAAAAAAAAATGGAAATATTATGTGAAATGTGTGAAAATGGTACAATCCCAAAACGGTTTCACAAAGAATACAGTGAGTTACCGTTTATGTCCAAAGTTGTGGACACACTTCCAGAGACCGACGAAGAAGATGATGACGTAGATTTAAGTGCTTAAATTTTTATTTCGTAAGCAATTGTTTTCGATTATTTAAGATTTGAGCAATATTTTTTCTTGCTTAAATAGTAATTTCAATGATTTTGAGATTACATAACTTTAGAGAGGTCACCAAAAATTGTTATGCTGACTTTGAAATTGTTTATTTTTTATTTTGTGTCTTATTGTTATAGTCATCCTATTATGTATGATGACGTTTTTGTTCAGGATTTAGGCCCACTTGCACCAAAGTTCTTAATTCAAATTAAGCCTAACAGATAATTAATTTTTAAAAGACAAAAATAGATAGAATGAGGCTTTTAAATTTGAATTAAGAACTTGGTGCAAGTGGGCTTTGGTTCCTTAATTTTGTTGTTAGATTAAAGCCCACTTGCACCAAAGCTCTTAATTCAAAATAAGGCTTAATCGTGTTTAACACATCATTTCATCTTTGTCAATTTAAAGTCAAATAGAGATAGAATGAGGTTTCAACATGATTAGCTTTAAATTTGAATTAAGAACTTTGGTAAAAGTGGGTCTAAGTGATGTTTGTTATTTTATTGGAGAAGTTATCCACAGATTTTTTGTTATTGCATTTTTTTAATTTTATACGTCATTTAAAGCGTTTCTATCATTGAGCGTGGACTAAAGATGTTAGTTATTTTAATTTTTATCATTTACATGTTGCTTAGCCAGCTATTCAAAATAGTTATGAAACGGAAATAGTTCCTTTCTGCGAAATCTGCGATTAATTAAGTTTGATTTCAGTTCCGTAATGAATGATTGCCATACTCGACTCTTCAGTTAGAGAATTCGAGCGTTTTATTATTGTGAAATAAAAAGGATATGACATAACTCTGTCTTCTTTTTTATAAAACATTACAAATGACCTCACAAACGAAAATATCCGTAGTAATTTAATTATTTTAATAAGAATTTCGTTTGGTTACGTCTTTCATTTATTTTTAACTACCGTTACGACTAAAATTGTTTATGTAAATTAGTAAAACTAACCTTTACTTCCCAATGGGTATGTATTGTGTACATTTTCACGAGCTGTATGGGACAGAAGTGGTTTAAATGAGGAGGTCGTAAGGGACTTTGTTTAAGAAGATAAACAATTTAGAGTATTTTCAATAGCTACAGGTTAAAGAACTCAAAATTTTATGTATGCTTTCCTTTGAGATGATCAAAATAGGCGTACAATATAAAAAGTTACAGCTGTTTAAAATAAAATTAAAACGTTTTTGGCTTCTCCTGAAAAGTAATGGTTTGTCCCTTACGCCAATTGAAATTACGGTCGACGATATAGATAGCACCCCTGGTCTTTAGGATATGGTGACTGCTTACCATCAGGCGGGCCTTATAGTTGTTTGCCATCCTTATAAAACACAAAAAAAGATACAGGATCTCTTTTACGATTTTATTTTGAGTGTGTATGCTGTTGGTCGCAGATGACCTTTACAGCGTCACCAGATTTGGGGACGGCGAGATCCTAAGGAGACCTCGAGCCGAGAATTGGCGAGTGCCTCTAGAGCAGTGTTTCCTAACCTTTCCAATACTGCTACCCCTGTAACCTATTAGAAAAACAGATTTTACCCCGACTTTAAAATGTTATCATCAGTCCAAGAAATTCCAATTTGGCCGCTACATCTTCGTCTCTAATAATGTCATCATCAGGAGAAAATCTCGCCCAGCTTCCCACACTCAGCACCCCGCGGGCTCGCTAGCAAGAAGGAGCGCATGCTCTATTTAGTATTTTCTTATTATTTAGATTTGACCAAATAATTAGGTTCTTTGTTATCCCCGAAGTATGGCTGATTTACCCCCCCAGGGGTAATTACCCCCAGGTTCGGAACCCAGGCTCTAGAGGTATTCCAGGCGGATGGCATCTCCCCACGGGGGGATTCTCCTCTCCATCTGGAGCCTCTAGACCACTCGAACCTGAGGGGGTCGGCTCAAAAAGAGGGCGTCTCTGAGACTCGGACCTCGGCTCTAGTCCGCCCCGCCCCGCCGTTGTCGTGGGAGTCGCGGAAAAACGTACGTACGTACCTGTACCTGGTAGCAGCCAATGATATTACATGTGTAATATCATATGCTGCTCCGCATGCTGTATCCAGCAAGATTGATAGTGCGTACAGAACTTAACCGACTTTCCTTGTGTCGATTAACTACTTTTATATCTAAAGGCTTTTTTTTAATTAGAAAATATTCCACGCGGATCAGGCAGCAGATGGGATTCGAACCCGCACTCTCCGCTATCCGGGTGGATGCACTGACCATTATGCTACCGCGGCCCTAATTGTCCGTGTCGAATTGTCTCTAGTATTCTAAGGCTGCAAGGCAGCGCTATCTCTTCGCATTGTAGGTAACGCACAAGTTATTTTTTTTTAGATTTAAGTATCTAACAGTTAAATGCTTAAAAAAATAAAAATATACTTGTAAAGCTTTAACTTATGACTTATTTCGCAATCACCAGACAAGGTCGTATATCCTTCTACATGACGAACTACGGCGAGGAGGGTATCCACGTAGGCAGTGCCGCCGCCCTGTCTCCCTCGGACCTGGTGTTTGCGCAGTACCGGGAGGTCGGGGTGCTCCTGTACCGGGGCATGACGGTCACAGAGATCGTCAACCAGTGCTACGGCAACTGCGAGGACCCGGGCAAGGGGCGGCAGATGCCGGTGCACTACGGCAGCAAGCAGCATAACTTCGTCACGCTGTCTAGTCCGCTTGGTGAGTTGGGTTTATTGAACCTGTGTTGTAAACCAAACTTTATTCAATTTTTGTCTCATGTCATGATTAACGAAGTGTAGAGGAAAGGACATTGTTCAGCGTCCATACATAGTTAGCCTAAGAACCAACAATCATGAAATATTATTTTCTAGGTTCAAAATCGTAAGTAAATGACTGTTAAAACAAAGATTATGGACGGACACTTCTGAGAACTTAAATTATTAGGAAAACTATTTTTTTTGAGGTTATGTTTAATATTCAATGAAACATAGGTCAACCTATGAACTTAGTATGAAGTGAATTAATATTACAACTAATTCATTTTATTGGGTGCGATTTTAAAGAATAACTATTAAGAAAAACTTGGTTAGGTAGGACCCATGATTAAAATAAAAACTGTAGTTTTGGCGTCTTATTTATTGACTATTTTTCACATAATTTTATCATATTGTATTTATTTGTATATCACATGTATATTGTGTAAATATGCCGCGTGAAAGTGTATCAGGTGTTGTCATTGAATAATATGGCAGTATGATCCTCTAAGGATGTTGTGGCACAGGTTCACTAGCACTTGGTAATAAGGGCTCTGCTCTTTGGTAACATCGATGGCATATTAGATAACCCAAATAGTTAAATTAAAGGAAAAACAATCGCAAATAAACACACACAACGGGTAATCCGAAACGAGAATGCACTTCCGGTATAATAAACTACTCTTTGGAATGCAGGAATGCCACAGATAACTACGAATGCAAACTGCATGCACCACAACCACAGAGTAACGAGTTTTATGCCGGCCCTTCACTTGACAACAGTTTGTTCTTGTCATGCTTAATAAGGAATGAAAAGGACACACTGATGTCATGTTTTAAAATAGCAAATACGAGTAGCGAAGTGAAGTGCCGGCATTAGGAAGAAAGAGTGTTTTGTTTGCAGCGCTGCCATAGATTATACACATAAAATGGTATTTATTGTCTCAGATTATTTATTAACTTTTTAATTTAGCTTACTTAACTGGAAGTGTCCGTCACAATCTAAATACTGATTATTATCGCAAAAAATATACTAAGAATTATCATAAATTCCAAATTGGTGTTGGTTCTTAGGCCAAATTTAACATTGTCCTTTGCGAATTCATATAAGAGTATAGCAACCCCTTTAAATATCTCCCTGTTTCATGCTTTGGAAAGTATGTTCGTTAGGTTGTAATGGCGGGTGCACGTGCAGTTGCTAGCAACCACCGATTCGCTCCAATCGTTCGTGTATACATAGAAATAGTTACCATTCCGTTTTCGTGGACAATGGTTAATTGTGTCCAGATAAAATTTTGTGTTATAGCAGTTTAAAAATAAATTAATTCACCCTGCCCTCGAGGAGCTCGATGGCGCTAACCACTTGCGCCTCGAAGGCAGGTGCGTTCGGCTGAGATCATTGAAGTTAAACAACTTTCGCAGTAATCGGTCATTGGATGGGTGACCAAAAATTGACTATCTCGAGCTCGTCCGTGCTTCTGAAGGCACGTTAACCCGTTGGTCCCGGCTGCATCAGCAGTCGTTAGCACCCACCAATCCGCAGTGGACTCGTGTGGTGGGTCATGGTCGTATCTCTCTATTCTATTCATAGGGAAGACCATGTACCCCAGCAGTGGGGACATTAATGCGGCTGCTGATGATGGTGACCGTGCTCTCATCCGTGAAAATTTACCATCATTCCAGCAACTCAGATGCCACAGGCGGTAGGCGCCGCGTATGCTTTAAAGCGTGTACCCAACAACGATCGCTGTGTGATCTGCTACTTCGGCGACGGCGCAGCCTCCGAGGGGGACGCGCACGCCGCCTTCAACTTCGCCGCCACACTCGACTGCCCCATCATACTGATGTGGTGAGCGTTATTTGTTCATGCACCCAGAGCAACATCTTCAGTGTTTAAACCGTATATACACCCATATGTTAGCTTATGTATTTAGTAGTAGAATGTTACTTTTCTTAATTGGCAACTCCGTCACTCACGCCACAAATCAATACTTATAAATACCTATATAAGATGGAGCCAGTTTGTCTACGCAAGTTACATCCCACACCAGAGTGCGGCCCAGTGTCCACGGCACAAGCACGGTAATATTATCTATACAGTATTGTGACTTGGCCCTGTCCTTGAAATAACTGCCTACGGCCGAGGGGCGTGGACACGCGATAGGGCTGACCGCCTACAGTATTTCATCTACTTTATTGAGTTTCTTTCTAGTTTTGTGATTGTAAATATTCTATTTTATATGTAAAATAAAATGTTGTGAATGTATCTACTTAATTCAATCAAATATTCACAATACAAATCGCACGTTTAAGCACGGCTAACTGCATAAAAAACAATTCAAACCGTTCGGTCGTCGCTGCGGCCACGCTGCGGCGCATTCGCGACTGGGTGCCCACCGGGTGACGCGCGAACTCGAGTGGCGTAGGTATGACACGCTTTCCGACCGTTTGTATGAAGATAGAATACTGTATATATATTATTACCATGGCACAAGCGTAGCACCGTAGCGTAGGTCTCTTGGTCTCTTGCCATCATCTCTATTTTGAAATTACACTATAAACTTTGTTAAAATATTGTAAAATTTGAAAAGCTGATGAACGGCTATCAGTTCGCTAGTCCCGGGGCCAAAGACCTTTTAATTTACTGTAAAGTTGTGTTACTGTAGTGAGACAATTTTTCATGTTAAAAGTTGCCAAATAAGCTTACGGCCCGCCTGATGGTAAAAGGCCCCCATAGCCTATAGAAGATTGCAATACAAAAAATATCACTCGCGCCATCCCCTACCCCGTGGAGTAAGGTTCCACCTTACTCACCGACAGTAACACAATACCATCAAAAGTCAGTGTTAAATTCTTCCGTAAGGTGGAGGTTACTTCCCCAGACGGGGGCTCCAATTCCAGCGGACTCGCTATGCCCTGCCTCTTTAAAAAGACTAGGAAATAATGGGCCCAATACTAGCGAGATTCTCTAAACTTAAAACTACATTTAACATAAGTCTCTCCTTTTCAGTCTGTATAGAGAATGACAAGGATATACTGCTGTCAAAGGACAATGGGCAAAACGCACCCAGCTCCGCCAACAATGTAATTAGTATGAATCGATAGATCTATGAAAAACTAGCCTTTTTTATTATGACACCGAAAATAAATATCCTGGGAGTTAAAAGATATGACACCGTAAAAAATATCCTGGTAGTCAATAGATATGACACATGGGCATATTTAAGTAGCTGAATAAATTCATTTTGTAGTACCTTCATTTTATAATTTTCATATTATTAGTAATCGTAATAATATGCCATATCGTACTATACAACCAGATATACGACAAAGCCTGCCGACCATCCTGCGCTTGCTCTTACTGAGACATTTCAAAACGGTTTACGGATGATGAGGGACTTGCAGTTGCAAATAGTCGGCTCGTCTTACTTCGTTGTAATTGTGCGCTTGCTGCTACTTAATTGATTTTTATCTAACACGCTTTGGATATTGGAAATTTGGAACATGATTATCGATTTTGTCAATTAGTATGGATCAATTATGTGTTCTCCGAAGCGTGGACAAGTTAGTGTAATCTGTGGTCGCTCCGTTTTACATATTTTCTATGTAAAACGGACAATTTACTATAACGAACAGAATGTTTAAAAAAAACTCAACCCATGCGGGGATGTTTGGATTTACTCTAGCGCGGCAGAATACATAAGGGGGCACCCTTGCACCTTGTGAAGTACTCCCATAAGAGCACCCTATGTAGAGTCGAACTAACTAACTAAATTAATTCCCTTGTTTCATTCATGTTCGTTCGTTATAGTACTTGTACACATTTAATTTAAAATAACGGAAGACCCCCGGGATGGAATTTGATGCGCTTTGGCACAGATGATCTTGAATATAATACCTTTCAAACAAATGTAGTTTAAGCCGTGGCGGACGTGGGTGCAGCGTCCATACATTTTTGCCCAATGTTCTTTAAGTTTAGGTTTAGAGAATCATGCTAGAATCGACACCAATAAGTAATGAATATGGTTATAATTTAACTTTTTCAAGCATGCAACTGCTCCATGTTTAAATCTAAAGAAAATATTACTAGAAAAAATTCCACGCCTACCAGGCAATCAAACAATCAAGGTCGCAGTAGCATAATTGGTCAGTGCATTCGCCCGGATAGCGAGCGGGTTCAAGTCCCGTCTTCTGCCTGGCCCGCGTGGAATTTCTTGCTAGTAATATTTTCTTAAGATTTAAATAATGAACATGGTTCGGCAGCAGAAACAACGGCTACGCCATATCGACACCGACGCGCGAACAGTACCGCGGCGACGGCGTCGCGTCGCGCGGCCCAGCGCTGGGCATTTTAACCGCGCGCGTGGACGGAACCGACCCGCTCGCTGTATACAACGCCATCCGCGCCGCTCGAGACCACGCCTTGAGGCATAACCGGCCCGCGCTTATTGAGGCCATGTCTTACAGGTATCTATCTATATATATAAAACTCAAAGGTGACTGACTGACATAGTGATCTATCAACGCACAGCCCAAACCACTGGACGGATCGGGCTGAAATTTGGCATGCAGGTAGATGTTATGACGTAAGCATCCGCTGAGAAAGAATTTTGATCAATTCCACCCCCAAGGGGATAAAATAGGGAATCAAAGTTTGTATGAAACTTTGTCAATTTTAAACCGATCGGGCTGAGACTTTGCATACAGGTATAAGAAGAATCATAGATGAATGTCATTGTGTATAATACAAGCCTGAGAACAAAAACTGTAATCTACACTTTCAGCTCTACACCGAAGCGAAGCGAGGGCGGGCCGTTGGTGTAATATAACAGATGGGTATATTGTACCGACCTGCTCGCTGTATACAACGCTATCCGCGCCGCTCGAGACCACGCCTTAAGGCATAACCGGCCCGCGCCCCCCCCTAGCACGTGATATGATATTTGCCCCGTTTTTATCACGCTCAATTGTCAAATTACTGTGGAGTTTGACAGTTAGACGCGATAAAATATAAATTGTAATGCTACGTGGGCTGGATAAAACTGGTGTAGTATATGGTGTGGTAAATTGGGAATAAATGAAACGTCCAACTTACAGCTGACTCCGTCCGTCAATATAATCCCATAAAGCACATATATACACATTAACAAATAGAAGGCGAAGACGGTACAAGATATAAAGTCCAAGCACAGCACTAGAAGAAGACAGTCAGAAAGATAGGCAATAGATAAACAGTTTATAGAAACGAAAAGCACAATTATATAAAGCGTACAGATCTAAGTATATAAGCGAGCTAAGAGAAGCGTGCGCTCCGCGTCGTAGTTCAGTCTCGACTGGTTTGATAGACAGCGCGGCGACGCACGCGCATCTCTAGTACATAAGATAGACAAAAGAATTATGTACAAGACTATACGTTAGTGCGTAGGGCGTGTCGATAATTGTTATCGATAAATCGACAAACCAGTACACCACGATATGTAATGAGAATAATATATTATAAATATAATTATAGTACTTATTATAAATTCTATATTAGATATTAATAATTATTGATAGATATAAAAGAGTCTCGTTTGTACGGCCTTGACGTGCGGATGTGTGTAAAAAAATGGAGGTCAATAAAGTGAAATGTAAAAGTTGTAATATTGTTATTAGCGAAGTGTTAGCGTTTATTCAGAATAAACACGATGTGATGGATAACGAGTCAATTATACGTGTATGCTTATCTGCCTTCTCGGAGCCAGACATACAAGAAGCTAAGAACCTGTTTTATGAATCGATAACGTCAACTCACCGTCAAAAATCACGACGTAAGGACGGCAAGAAACAGAGAGATTTGGAGGACATTATTTGTCTTTTAAAGGAAGTTGACCCTAATGACATTCCAGTATTTGTGGCGCGGGATTTACAGAAACTTCCCCCAGTTTGCTTTGACCACGTAGATGTGACAAAATTGCTGAAGGATATTGTGCTACTTCGCAGTGAAATAGAACACGTAAAAGAAAATTACGTGACAAAGCATCAACTACAAGATTTAAAAAATCAGCTGGAAAATCTAAAGTTGTCATCATTAGTGGATTATTCTAATAATCATAACGTAAACACTAGAAAAAGAGGTGGTTTTCTAATGGATAGCGGTTTGACAGTTTTTACAAATACCGACACACCATATCCGCTCGACGAACAACATACTGATGACGCCGAAATCGTAAATGAAGTGTGCGAGCTATCTCACTCTAGCGTGTGTGACGGTGGGAAGCCTTCTATCACCCTCGCACCTAAGAGAGTGATTGAGTTGTCACAATCAGCTGCGAAGCAACGTTCGATATTTGTCGGAGATGCGAGTGAGACGAAATCTGTCTCTGCGCAGAGAAATACTAATACTTTGCGACAGTCTTTGGCTGAGATAGTTAAACGACCCGGTGAGTGGAAGAAAAATAAACCCGACGAAAATTGGACCATAGTTCAACGTAAGAGGAGTAAAAATCGCTTTGTAGGCAAAACAGGAACAGCGGCCACTCAACCTCAAACAAATTTTAAAGCCGCAGAAAACCTAGTGCCGTTGTTTATCTCAAATGTAAACAAGGATGCGTCGGAAAGCGACATAAGCGAGTACATAAAAAGTAAAAATGAGAATATTGAGGGTGTAGAAAAAATTACCATGAAAAATAAGAGGCCATATAATTCCTTCAAGATAATGGTATCACGGAATAAAATTGATACATTTCTGAATGATAGTTTCTGGCCGGACGGGATTACGTTTAGAAAGTACATATATTTTAGACAACGAAGCGTACATCAAGAAGTAAATAAGACTCCGCCGGCGAGCGATTACACAACAATAAACAATGGGTAGTACGTTCATTAGCTATAATTGTAAAAATATTAAAAGGAGCGCGGAGTGCGTGAGAAAGCTATGTAAGTCAGCCGATATTATAGCTCTTCAAGAGACGTGGCTATATCAGCATGATCTATCGATGCTTGGCCAGATTGATACAGACTTTAGTTATACGGCCAAATCCTCCATGGACCCATCGATGGGCATGCTGCGGGGCAGGCCCTATGGCGGTGTGGCCCTGTTGTGGCGAAAGAACGTTTTTCAGAGCGTCTCTGTAGTGAAGTGTACTAGTGATCGCGTAGTGTGTATTAAAGCGAACATAGGTGATAACCGTGAAATATTAATATTTAGCGTCTATATGCCTACGGACAAATCGGTAAATCTCCCTGAATTTACTGAGTGTTTGAGCGAATTAAATGCAGTAATACGTGACTGTGATATAGATGTCGTTTATATGTTGGGGGACTTTAATGCTCACCCGACGGCTGATTTTGGTAACGAACTTATGAACTTCTGTGACGAAAATGAGTGGATTATCGTAGATATACTCAAGTTGGGTACTTCCTCAAATACATATACTTTTGTAGATGAGTCAAATAAGTGTAGGGGAAGGTGGTTGGACCACTGCTTGGTTACTAAGGCCGCAGGGTCGTCAGTGGTGAGTATTAAAGTTCACAATGACATTTATTGGTCTGATCATTTCCCTCTTGAACTGAAGTGTAACTTGAATATAATTAAACCTAAATTAGTGTCTAATAACAATGTAAATAGTCGTATTGTATGGGGATTAAGGGACACGGAAGAAATAAATAAATATTATAAAGTTTGTAATGATAGACTAAGAGACATTAATTTCCCTGGCGAATTTCATCAATGTGCCGATTCGATGTGTAATAATATAGAGCATAGATTTATTATTGATCGGTTTTACCATTCTATTGTTAACATTTTATGTCAAACATCGATGGAAAGTCGCAATAACTCGGCAAAAAAACCAGCTAAAGTAAGAATTGTTTATGGATGGAATAAGCATGTTAAGGATGCGCATAGGCAGGCTAGGCTTGATTTTCAAATGTACTTGTATTACGGCAAGCCGAGCGAGGGACCCATATATGAAAAAATGAGAGAAAGCCGCAGGATATTCAAGTCTCGTTTAAAATTCTGCCAGGATAACCAAGAGCAGATTAAAATGGATATCCTTGCTTCACAACATTCGGCTAAAAAGTTCAATAAATTTTGGAAGGGTACAAAAAACCTTAATGGTAGGGTTAGCCTGCCTGTGAGCATAGATGGTGTGAGTGAGCCTACATCCATAGCAAATATTTTTAAGGATAATTTTCGTGTGAAGTCCGGCCTGCCATCGTTGCCCCTTGCTGAGCCCTCCAAGGTAGAGCAGCCGGTTAGTTTCTATGCTAAAGATGTTCTCAGTATCATCAAAAACATGAAGAGGGGTAAGTCTCCAGGCCATGACGGGCTCAGCATTGAGCACCTTCAGCATGCAGGGCCCCACCTCAGCAAGGTACTGGCTATGTTGTTTACCTTTTGCTTGCGACATTCGTACTTACCGTCAGATCTCATGAAAACTGTAGTAGTGCCGATAGTTAAGAACCCCACGGCCGATACCGCTGATAAGAATAATTATCGACCAATCTCCTTAGCCACGGTAATCGCGAAGGTTTTTGATGGGTTATTAGATCAAAAGCTTGAGAGCGTATTGTTATTGCATGACACGCAATTCGGATTTCGGCGGGGGCTCTCTACCGAAAGTGCTATATTAGCTTTAAAGCACACTGTACATTATTATGTTAAGCGGAAAACCCCTGTATACACGTGTTTCTTGGATTTGTTCAAAGCTTTTGATTTAGTATCTTATGAAAAGCTTTGGACAAAGCTAAGAGACGCAGGAGTGTCTTCAGACGTAGTAGCCCTATTTTCATATTGGTATAGTCACCAAAGCAATGCAGTTAGATGGGGTAACGTATATTCTGATGAATACCTTCTTGAATGTGGTGTTAGGCAGGGGGGTCTCACTTCACCTAGACTTTTTAATATTTATGTCAATAAGCTCGTCGAGTAGCTCAGTAGCACGCATGTTGGTTGTCACGTAGATGACGTTTGCGTCAATAACCTAAGTTACGCGGATGACATGGTGCTGCTGAGCCCCTCGATAGGGGGATTAAGAAAATTATTACACATATGTGAGTCTTATGCTGTGGAACATGGCTTAAAATATAATGAGAAAAAGAGTGAATTCATGTTGTTTAAAGCCGACAAGAATGGTCCGACTATTATACCTCCGATCACTCTAAATGGTACACCGTTGAGCCGTGTTTCCCAGTTTAAGTACCTAGGCCACATAGTCACTGAAGATTTATGTGATAATGCAGATATTGAGAGGGAGCGCAGGGCATTGTCGGTGCGTGGTAACATGTTGGCACGTAGGTTCGCTCGCTGTTCAGCAGAAGTCAAAATTACGCTGTTCAAGGCATACTGCCAGACATTGTATACGGGCAGCCTGTGGGCCAGCTTTACACGCGCGGCCTATAATGCTCTGCGTATCTCATATAATAATGTATTTAGGGCTCTGTTCAAGCTTCCTCGCTACTGCAGTGCTTCAGGCATGTTTGCCGATGCAGGAGTCGACGACTTCTATGCGGTTATTCGCAAAAAAGTTGGCTCATTAGTAAGAAGAGTGAGAGAGAGCACGAACAGCGTCCTGAGGATGGTAGGGGACCGGCTGGACTCCGTGCTGCTGGGCCGGTTCACTGAGCTGCACGTGCTGCGTTCACGTGTGTGGTGAATCGGCCCCGCTGTATGGGGCTCCACGCCAATATTTGTTAAATTTTATTTTATTGTATTGTCTTATTGTTACTAACATAGCATTTAAGTCAATTGTACTAACATACCTATGGACTCTGTCTGAAAATAAATGTTTTTTTTTTTTATTTTTTTTTTATTTTTTTTTTTTTATAAATATATAGTGTAAATATATAGTGTAAGATAGTAAGTGTTACGGTTTTAGAATATAAGTTACTTTGTATATTTCCTTATAATGAATAAATTTAAATTATATTTTATGTGTACAGTGTAAATATAGTTTGAGGATGTATTCACACCTCAAAGTAGCCTACACCACCCCCCTCCAGAGACCGTCACGGGCGATAAAAATCAGTAAATTTAAATCATTAGCGTGGCAGACTATTGCGGCTTTAAGTTGTCGGTGAAAACGTTCCACCAAACCGTTGCATGCAGGATCGTATGCAGTAGTCCGCTTATGCTCAAAACCAGTTATTTTGGATAGGCTGGCAAACAGCGCCGACTCGAACTGACGACCACGATCAGTCGTAATATGAGTAGGGCAACCAAATCGAGCAATCCACGTTGACAGCAATGCCTTTGCCACGGTTTCCGCGGTGATGTCTTCTATCGGTACTGCTTCCGGCCATCGGGTGAATCGATCCACGGCGGTTAAGCAATATCGATAACCTTTTGAAATAGGTAAGGGACCTACCAGATCTATATGGATCTGCTTGAATCGCACACGGGGTAATGCAAAAGTGCTAAGGGGTGCGGATACATGGCGCGTAATTTTAGCTTTCTGGCAAGACACACAAGCACGTGCCCACTCCCTGCAGTCTTTTCTTATCCCAGGCCATACAAATCGCCCTGCTATTAATTTGGCGGACGCACTGGCACCAGGATGGCTTAGGGAATGCAGGCTTTCAAAGACCTGTCTGCGATAGGGCTTCGGAACGAATGGTCTACTGACGGGTGTATTGCGATCGCAATACAGGGGTACATCAGTCCCAGGAATGGGCAGTTTCTCTAACTGCAAAGATGTACCTTCGGCCAGTAATTTCTCCAGTTCCGCGTCACCTTCTTGGCTTTTGGCTAATGTTTCAAGGTCCACCGGCACTCCCAGTTCTTCAATCCGCGACAAAGTATCGGCTACGACATTGTCTTTGCCGGATATATGACGGATATCGGTCGTGAACTGGGAAATAAAATCGAGGTGCCTATACTGCCTAGGCGAACAGTTTTTCTTCCTTTCATGGAATGCGAAACTGATCGGTTTATGGTCCGTATAGACGACAAAATGCCGGGCCTCGAGCATATGTCTGAAGTACTTAATGCCCTCATAAATTGCAAGTAATTCCCTATCGTATGGTGAATACTTTACCTGCGATGGGCTCAGCTTGCGAGAAAAGAAGGCTAACGGTTGCCATGCACCGTCCTGAAGCTGTTGCAGGACTGCGCCGATTGCCTTATCGGAGGCGTCTGTCACCAAGGCAAGTTTGGGGGCACAGTCAGGGTGCGCTAATAAAGCAGCATTTACTAGGCTGTTTTTGCATGCGTGAAAGGCTGTAAGGGCGTCACCTGTCAAATTGATTGGTTGAGACCCTTTGACTGAGCCAGACAGCAATGCATGCAAAGGAGCTTGAAGTTCTGCAGCTCGGGGAAGAAATCTCCTATAAAAGTTGAGCATTCCCAGGAATGCTTTAAGTTGTCGCACTGTGGTAGGGATCGGGAACTCCTTGATTGCCTGCACCTTGGAGTCTAAAGGCCTGGAACCGATCTCAGACACAGAGTAGCCTAAGAAAGTTACTTCCTGGACTCCAAAAACGCACTTGCCGGTGTTTACCACCAACCCGTATTCTTTGAGCTTGGCGAAAATATGGCGTAAGTGTTGCTCGTGGTCCCGCACGCTCTTCGAGAAGACCAAAATGTCATCCAAATAACAGTAGATGAAATCCATGCCTCTCGTTATCTCGTCCATAAATCTTTGTAAGGTTTGGCCGGCATTCCGAAGTCCGAAGGTCATGAAAGGAAATTCAAACAACCCGAATGGTGTTGTGATCGCGGTCTTCGGAATGTCGGCTGGGTTGACAGGAATCTGATTATAAGCCTTTAATAAATCAAGGGTGCTGAAGACTTTGCAACCAACAAGATTATGTGCGAAGTCATGTATGTGCTTAATCGGATACCTGTCAGGTATGGTACGAGAATTGAGCATGCGGTAATCACCACATGGACGCCAGCCATTGTCCCTTTTCGGCGGTCTGGCTGTACCGCTGGCAATCATATTTTGGAACTCCTGTTGGGCAACCTTAAGTTTGTCTGGAGCTAAACGGCGAGGATTACAAAAAACTGGAGGGCCTGGGGTCGTGCGAATGTGGTGAACAGTGTTGTGTGCGAATGTGCGGTGTGTACCGGTTGGTCGAGTGATCTCGGGAAATTCGTCGAGAATTTTGTGATACCGAGTTTCACCAGTCAAAACTTTAACAGACGCTATATTGCTACAATTTGCAACTAAAGCTACAGATGACACAGAGGTTGTACTATCTAATAAGCGTTTGTTACGGCAATCTACAATGAGGTTGAAATAATTTAAAAAATCTACTCCAATGATTGGTTTAGTTACATCTGCAACTACAAAACGCCAACTAAACAATCTACGTAAGCCAAAATTAAGATTAAGTTGTACATAACCGTAAGTAGATATAGTAGACCCATTCGCAGCACATAAGTTGTAGTCCGTCCTAGCACGACGATCGCGAAGAAGGGACCGTGGGAAGACGCAGAGGTCGCTTCCGGTATCGACGCGAAACTGCACCTTCGAAGAGCGGTCCGTGACAAACAGGCGACCAGTAGAAGATGTAGGGCAGTCAGTAGTCGCCATTATAGACCACCCCTGGCGTTTCCCGCTTTGTAATCGCAAGGCTTTATGCATCTGTCGGCTTTCTCAGCGAATTTATTATGGTACCAACAAAGCGGAAACTTCCTGTAGTTCGATTGGGAGCGCTTGCTGGACGATGAACGGGCACGGGATGGTTTTCTAGACCGTGATGAAGATCTGCCGTTCCTCTCCGACGCCAGCTTCTGGAACTGTTTCCGAAGTTCTGCAACCTCTCTGGTCAAGGCTTTGATGCTTGGGTCTAAGCTAGCTTGGCCAGTGGAAGCCACAGAAGGAGTCGGTGTTGCCAGCTCATGAATACGATCGGCCAAGTCCGCCAAATCGTCGGTAGATGCTGCAATTGGCTGGCCAGCGAGGACTGCCTGGATCCCATGCGATAGACGACTCACCCAGATTGTCTTCAAAAAATCGTCAGGAATATTAACGCCGGCGAGACTTTTAAGATGGCGGAGAAATTGGGAGGGTTTGCGGTCTCCCAGCTCCTCGTGCATCAAAAGTTGTTTGAGCTTCTTCTCCTTCGACGCTGTAAGCCGCTTGATGAGCTCAGTCTTCAATTTGTGGTATTTATCTGTAGCAGGTGGGCTGATAATAAGGTCCTTCACTTCTCTGGAAAATTGGTTGTCGAGTTGGCCAATCACATAATGATATTTGGTGGAGTCGCTGGTAATTCCAGATATAGCGAACTGCCCCTCCACTTGCGCGAACCAAATCTCAGGCTCTTCTGGCCAGAACGGTGGCACCCGAATTCCTACTTTGAAAACATCGATACTTTTTATCGACTGGTTCCCATCACTATTATTTGCCTGCGTGACCGTGCTGGTTCCATGTGCATCTTGAAATTCTCCATCCATGATTCTCAAACGGGGTCACCAGTGTAGTATATGGTGTGGTAAATTGGGAATAAATGAAACGTCCAACTTACAGCTGACTCCGTCCGTCAATATAATCCCATAAAGCACATATATACACATTAACAAATAGAAGGCGAAGACGGTACAAGATATAAAGTCCAAGCACAGCACTAGAAGAAGACAGTCAGAAAGATAGGCAATAGATAAACAGTTTATAGAAACGAAAAGCACAATTATATAAAGCGTACAGATCTAAGTATATAAGCGAGCTAAGAGAAGCGTGCGCTCCGCGTCGTAGTTCAGTCTCGACTGGTTTGATAGACAGCGCGGCGACGCACGCGCATCTCTAGTACATAAGATAGACAAAAGAATTATGTACAAGACTATACGTTAGTGCGTAGGGCGTGTCGATAATTGTTATCGATAAATCGACAAACCAGTACACCACGATATGTAATGAGAATAAAATATTATAAATATAATTATAGTACTTATTATAAATTCTATATTAGATATTAATAATTATTGATAGATATAAATATATAGTGTAAATATATAGTGTAAGATAGTAAGTGTTACGGTTTTAGAATATAAGTTACTTTGTATATTTCCTTATAATGAATAAATTTAAATTATATTTTATGTGTACAGTGTAAATATAGTTTGAGGATGTATTCACACCTCAAAGTAGCCTACACTGGACTAACTAAGTGTTTCCTATTAAACTACAAAGTAAATCTAAGCAATTAAGTATGAGATAGACAAAACGATTGTAAGGCCATTATTTCGCATAGTTATTTATTGGCTGCACCACAACTTTCTCTTTTCTAGAAATTTGTCAGTATCATGCGAATGTCTCTGAGTCCATGTAAAACTCTTACATTGATAAATCTGTGACTTTCAGAGTGGGTCACCATTCAACATCAGATGACAGCACGGCGTACCGGTCCCTCGAAGAAATACAGAAATGGAACAATGACGAGAACCCAATACAAAAATTCAAGATGTATTTAGAACGGAAAGGTATAAACTATAACAGACTAGCGGCCGCCCGCGATTTTGACCGCGTTAACTTAGGTTTTGTCAGAATTCAATAGGAATCTGTAATTTTTCCGGGATCAAAAATATCCTATATTTTAATCCAGCTCATAAACTATATGTATACCTTTCAACTAAATCCGTTCAGTAATGTTTGCGTAAGTTTAACAAACATGCAAAATTTCACACTTATAATATTAGTAAATAAATAGAAATCCCTTACTTAATCTCATTCACGCAGCAAGTTTAAATGTATTTGCGTTCAAAATAGCGTTCCAATTTTAGTGAATTAGCTGTCTGTATCCTAATATGATGCAAACTTTCTTCTTAATCGCAACTGAATTCCTGTAAAAGGTTACTGGGACGCGGGTTCCGATGAAGCGTTGCAGAAGGAAGCTCGGGACCTCGTCGTGAAGACCATGCAACAAGCGGAGAAGAAGCAACTTCCACCCTGGAAGGAGATGTTTGAGGATGTCTACCACGACATGCCACCCAGGATACAGTCAGTATAACATTAAGTATAACATCAGCCTTAATCAGGGTCGAATTTAAGGCAGGGCAGGTGGGGCTGTGGCCTAGGGGCCTCCACAACAGCTTAAGATATAACAACATTTCGATGGGTTAACAAGAATACAAATCCTAAGTGGCCCGGGGCCTCCACAATCCTAAATCCGGCCCTGGCCTTAATCTGGAGTCGTTAGCACCCACCAATCCGCACTAGGCACGCGTGTTGGGTCACGGCTTAGTCTCCCTACTCCATTCACAGAGAAAGCCCTCCCAACAGTGGGGACATTAATAAGGTTGACTGGGAGAGAATGCTATTATGAAATGCTAATAGAATGCGGTGGTTCTTTGAACAACAATACGAGGCGGCAAGTACAATTTAAGATGCTATTTAATTGCTGTAGTATTTTAAACTAAATTGTTGTCTCGACTTGCTGATGTTCTCCTAATTAATGTGTTTTTAAGAATATAATAATTGTGAGGTGGTGGCAGAATACCAGCGGCAAGTCAAAACTTGACTGTTACATGCTGAGCCACATACCTTTTTGTTTCAATTAAAATTTACTGTCATTCTATTTGTATATTGTACCAATTGTATGTTAAAACAAATAAAAGATTTTTTAATATTAGCATTAAGTCCGCCTTTTGTACCATTCTCTTGTATTTTGGTGAATAAGGTTTAGCAACGAATAGTATAATCGGCAGTATACCGAATACCGAATATTCGGCGAGGCCCCTGACCGAATAGCCGAATATTAGGCAAAAGTATTCGGCTGGATTTTAGCGCCAAAAACCTGTACAGACGTGATTGTTTCGCGCTCCTTTGTTTGCAGTGCAATTTAGTCAAATGCAGTTTCAACAGAAATGGATATTTTCTTAAATATTAGTATATCACGTCATGACAACCCGTATACACGGTGGCAGCAAGGAAATTTGAAAATGATTAAATTATGTACCTGTTTTATGTACCAATGACTATTAATAAATGATTATAAAAGAAATGAGAACCTTACCATTTTAAATTTTGATTACCACAATAATTCAAATACATAGAATCCTCCATTTTTCCAATTCAGAAGATGATTATGTACCTGTGTTATATACCAATGACTACTTAAATGATTATATATAACAGAAATGAAAATATGAATATATACGTAATCAATCGATTTTAATTTTTAATTTTGCCAATTATTTATGACAAAATATATTATTTAAGTATTCGGTATTCGGCCGAATATAATAAAAGCAGCCGAATAGGCCGAATACCGAATAGTAACAGAATATTCGTTGCAAGTCTAGTTTAAAATAAATAAATAAATATTAGACTGGTGATGATGATGATCACCCTATTAATTAATTGTCCCCACTGCTTATGCATAGGCTTTTTCAGGCTTTTATATTTATTTCTTCCGTTTTGTTTTGGCTTTTAGGATGGTATACAGAGGGCCTAGCTAGCTTGACCCACCATGCGAGCCCAGTACGAATTGGTGGGAGCTAACGACTACAGATGCAACCAGAACCAACAGCTTATCGTTTTTCCGAAGCATGAGGAGGTCGAGATAATAATTTTTTGGTCACCTATGCAATGACCGGCCATTGCGAAAGTTGTTTAAGTTTCACTCACACCAATTAGCCTAGCCCCAAAGTAAGCACTGTAAAGCTTGTGTTATGGGATACTAGGGTAACGGATAGAATACATATACTATACATATTCATATAGAAATACATATTAAACATCCATGACTGGAGTACAAATGCTCGTATTCGTCACACAAACATCTGCCCCCACCGGGATTGACCTCTCGAGTCGGCGACACCATGAAACCCGGCGTACAAACCACTCGACGACGAAGGGCGTCTTAATTGTGTCAATGATAAATGATAAATATAAGGCGGAGAGGACAATAGGTTCTAGGTATACAGGGAGATGTTCTAGGACGTTGGTATACCATTACCCAACGTGCGTATTGTAAACAATTGATTTGCTATGCACATTGTCCACGCCAAACTTAGTTTTAGCATTGCCCCTTGGAAATCTGATGGGTGACCAAGTACTCTTTTTTTTTCATGCTTAATAGGCAAGGCGTTTGACCACAATCTCGCCCGATGGAAAGCGATGTTGAGGCCTAGGATGGTACACGCCTGCCTAGAAGATGCCTGTTCACTCTGGCTTTGAAGATGTCCAGCTGTATTGGTCCGGGAAAACAGACCTCGGTAAGGAGTTCCACTCCCTGGCCGTTCGCATAATGAAAGCGGAAGCAAATCGCTTCGTGCGAATGGGAGGAACTTCGACAACATTAGGGAGAAAGCCCTCGGCTGGGCGTCCTGTGGTGGAAAGGGGAACTCAACAACTGCTCTGGGCTCGACTAATGGATCGACCGTAATTATGTACAATCTAGCTTTGTATTTATCTCAATTTAATATTATTATTTCATTTTCAGGAAACAAGTCAAAGAACTGGAAGATCACCTTGCGGTTTATGGAGAACATTACGCTCTAGATACATTTAAACCTGAATAGACCACATATATATGAAGTTAATTATTCTATTTGTTTACAAAATGTTGTTATAGTAGGTAAATTAAATGATTTTCTCCATTTATTTTGGTTAATATTCTTTCTTTACCTATTTTATCCTATCAACACCCAAAAAAGAAAGATAAAGAAGTGATTCTAAGCATAGCTTTTTTTCCGCTTGAAATTAAGGCCCCATTTATGGGAGCAACCTCCATCTTACAGAAGACATTCAAAACACAACACCATCAAGAGGTAGGTAATGTAATGTTAGTGGTTGGTGTTTTGTTTTCGACCGCAGAGCGCTTAGTAGTATTATGCTTACATTAAAACAAAAAGGACTATCACTATTTGACATTCAAACACGCTGCATGTACACTCAATATAACAATATTGCGTATATTCTGTGTTATAAAGATATAACAATGCCTTCGATGCTTTTATAAAGAACACAAATAGTTCAAAATAAAATGCCCCGGCAACACTTTTCATTCGTAAAACTGTAACACATTTTTTTCTCAAAAGTCATGGTTTGTCGTGTATTGGCTGTGGTTGAATTGCGGGGTAGTTGTGGGGGGGGGGGGGAGGCTGCACCCGATTCCCCCCCTCGATAAAGATTTTTGGCGGAAATGCATTGTTTTTTTTTTAATTAACTTAACCTAAAAAATCATTAAATCTGTTAAATGTAGTGGATCCCTTCTTTTTTTATGCCGAGGTAGGCAAATAAATGACTCTACCCCACATGATGTTAAGTGGTGATAAAGCCCAAACGCGAAGATAGCTGGTACAGCAGCTATGAACTGCTACACCAACCATCCTCACCTTGATGGCCTGCAAAAATGCTTCTTCACGCCTCTCTTAAAGGACCCCAGATTATGGGAAGAAGGGAACACGTGCGCGGGTTAAGAATTCCACTTACGAATAGTACGACAAAGAAATGAGTCACCTAATTTCTTTGTTCGTGTAGGAATAGTGGCCACAGTAAGTCGGTGGCAACGTAGGCCAGCGCGCGTGGTCCTCTGAAGAAAAGGTGATGGAGGGATAAGCAAGAATAGCTCCTCAGAACACTTGCTGTGGTATAGTCTGTAGAATGCGCTTATAGATGCCACATCACGGCGTAATTGTAGAGACTCGAGTTTCTTAGTTACCTCTTCATCGCAAATGATGCGGGCAGCGCGCCGCTGCAACCTATCCAAGGCATCGAGTAAGTACTTAGCGGAGCCATCCCAGAGGTGCGAGCAATATTCCACGCAGGACCTACTCTATGTCTTCAAAGAGCACCATAATTCGAGAATTCCATGTTGTATCCCGGAACTCGGCAGCTTGTCTTGGGTCGCCCACCGACCAAGGCTGGGCAATATTATTATTTTTATAAAATTTCAACGCTTTTAGGGATCTTTTTTAGCACTACTACAAGACATAAGAACGCCATTTAACGACACTTAAATCTTTCTTGAAGGAAAATTCGGCATAAGGTCCCCTTAGGATCTCGCCGTCCCCAAACCTGACGACACTGTAAGGCCCTTTTCACATGCACACGGTCACGGCACGGCCGCCATGCCGTGCAACCGTGCTAGCTCTTTCACATGTATACGGCTTACACACGGTCGCCGGCTATGGATGTTGCAGTATTATCGAGAATTTTGGGGAACGACGACGTCTATTATCATGGAACAAAAAAAGATTCTTTTCATTATCATCTAATTCTTCGAAACTACTATTTAATCCTATACATACTTCTTTCTACGGTTCTTTTGTCTCGTTCCTGTTTTTATAAGACGCGATGGTTTTATCCCATAAAGTAGGACGCGCTTCAACTAGCGAAATCAACACATCAACATCGATTTCGACAGACATTCTGTAACAATCGTCCGTCCGTTCCCCTGTCTATGACTTTAGCTGACGAATGGTATTTGCGCTCGCCGTGCCGTACCGCGCCCGTGTTCATGTGAACGCGTCTATACAAGTTCATACAAGACTATAAGGACGGTTGCCGCGTCAAAACCGTGCTTATAGTGGATAAGGACGGCTAACACGCGGTCACGGCACGGTCGCCGTGCAATGTGAAAGCTCTCATTGTTGCTCATACATTACTATTTTACACGGCACGGCAACCGTGCCATGTCCGTGTACATGTGAAAAGGCACTAAAGGTCATCTGCGACTGCGCCCAACAGCATACACACTCAAAAAAAATTGAAGGAAAACGGGTGGATAGACTCAAACCTAACCGAGTTGGGTTGTATAGAGGCTTTAAGCATGTTTCATTTATTGACGTATTGACTGATGTTATATTGACAAATTGGCAAGTGACAAGTGTCTGTTATTATCATTCGGAAAACATAACCTCAATATTTGGTTCAAACCAACTTGGAAATCAGTGTTTTTTAGTTTATTCAAAAGAAAATGTCGATTTTAATACGCACTGATGTAACTGCTGTAAAGTTGTACAAAAAATTTTTGTTAGCTGGTAATAAAATCGTCTCGAAAGCTTATGAATTTTGGTCATTGCTTGAATATTTGATAAAAGGGATAATTTTTATTTTTCCAGGCATTGGAAGCTCTGTTTATATTTATACTAAGAATGGCTTCAAATTTTTACATAGGTTGCACTGTTTAAATGGTCAAAAGATATATGGACTAGTGCCTAATGAAGTTCGGGATTACGTCCTTGTATTTGGAGGCAAACAGTTCAGTGTGTTATCATTGGAGTGCCCGAAGAGTGACGAAGATGACTTGAGAGTAGCAAGAATAGTTGAGCCTGTAGTTTCCATTGATTGGTTACATTCAGCAGCCTGGATGAAAGATGATACCATGGCTGTTTTAACAGCTCATAACATTGTTCAGGTAAAGACATTTATTCTAATCAAAAAACTGTTTTATAAAAAGAATAATATCTTTACTTCTGAAATGTCATATTGCAGGCATGTCGCAAGTGTGGTCATTGCAGTTATGTCTAACAAATGCCTTCTCAATATAGAAATTGCACAAAACTTCTGTTAGCGGAGCTTCCTTCACCTTCATAATAATTATGTTAGGAATATTCATCTAATGTTGTTTTTGAATTCCCCTGTTTGATTCATACATCAAAAAAATTAATTCAATACAACTATATACAGGTTTGGGATCTAAGTAACAATTCCATGATCTCTCAACACCTGACTAAAGAAAACTCCATCCTATACAGTGGCCTTCTGTTGGCTCTGCAAGATGGTGTATTGGTGTTTGCCGGGACTGTGTTCTCTGAAGTTATTGTAAGTTCTACTACAAATGAAAATCCTCTACATTACTTAAAAGGACATCGGGTATGTAGTTTTCATATTTTATTTAAAATTAGGTTTTTCTAAAATTGAATTATTATACAAGGTTTAGCCTACGAATCATATTAACAGCTAGTTTATAATTCCTTATTATATAGGTACATAAAACCCTAAGATATTAGTAGAGACAAAGTTGTCATGTATATTACCTTTTTCAGGGGGTAATATTTTCCATTACTGTTGACTTAAAGAGAGGCATCATTATCACTACTTCAGATGACAGATCAGTCAGAATATGGGGAGTAGATCCAACATACACTCTAAATAATACGGCCATAGACACAACGGAGTACTGGCGAAATTGCACTATTATTTGTAAGCATGAAGTCTATGGGCATACAGCTAGAGTTATGAGAAGTTGCATTACTGACGACTCGATCATATCTGTAGGGGAGGACTCAACTATGTGTTACTGGGATTTGAAAGGAAAATTGCTTAAGAAATATATTACCCATCAAAACGGTTGTATTTGGTGTGTTGATGCCAATAAAACACATGCAGTCACAGGAGGCGGGGATTGTGCTGTTATTTTACACCCCATGACAGCAGCTTCATATAATGGCCAAAACAAAGTTATCAACTTTAACGTAACTCCAAGAAAAATTGCTTTCACCGCTAGAAAGAACCTTATAATTTTAGATGATAATGATAACTTAGTTTATTTCAATGTAAGTGATACAACACAAACTGAATATAAACTTTTTCATGACTCAACATATAAATTGTTCACAGTCTCTGATTGTAAACAATTAATAGCTGTAGGTGAAATGAATGGCAAGCTTGATATTTTTGCGGAAAATTGTAAAGATGTAGCTTGTCTTACAAACATTATAGACACTAGAGTAAATTTAGGAAAAGTTTTATCAATGCATTGGGCAGGAAATAGACACTTAGTTTTTTGTGCAGAGCATGGTGTGATAACAGTAATAAGTTCAAGGAACAATGACATAGAAACTTTTGCTGTGTTTATGCTTCCACCTTGCAAGGAGAGGTGGCTAACCTCTGCAGCTATGGATCACTCAAATAAATTTATAGTTGTCGGTGACAGATGTGGGAATATCCATGTTTATTTACAAGGAAATAAAAATCCCTATAAGACCTTTAATAGGGTCCATGGAAGATATGGACCTACATCTATAACTATAAAAAACAATGAATTTGTAACAACAGGTCGTGATAGGTGTATTAAATATTTTTCATTAGATAAAAATGATAAATCTTCAACTATATACATGTGCAGTAAAGAATTAGAATTCCAGTGGGTTGAAAAGTTTATTGATAAAGATGACAATATTGTATGTGGATTTCAAGAGAGAACCTTTGTTGTTTATAACGTTAAGAATCACAACAAAATTCTGGAAGTAATCTGTGGTGGTGGTCACAGATCCTGGGATGTCTTCAGATATGTAGACAAAGCTGGTGATGATTATGATGAATATATCAAACTCGTATATATCAAAAATAGTGATGTCCACTCTCACATATTTCAAATGAGCAAAATAATTTCACAAAACGTAGTAAACAGCTCCCATTCAAAAGAAATAAACTGTTTAAAGACTTTCAATAATGATTTGGACCCACTTGTCAAATTTTACGTTACTGGTGGTGAAGATACGACGTTAAGAATTTCCACGATTGACGCAAAACTTAAATTCCAAGATGAGGTGGTCTTCAAACAGTTGTCTAATGTACGAACATTGACATTAGTTCCGTACCCTAATAGTGTTCTGGTTATATCTGCAGGTGGCAGAGCACAAATTTGTCTGAAAATTATAACCATACTTAGTAAAGGTGATCACCTGAAAGTAGCATCTGAAGAGTTGATAGATTACATGATTAAAGGCACAGATAGAGAGAGGAAGAATAACCAGACTTGGAGAAACAGTACAATAGATTTTGATCCTGAAACCAGAGTAATGGATCTGGATGCCATTAAGTTAGGTGATGGCAGAATAATAGTATATGCTGGCTGCTCAGATGCTTACCTTAGAATATTCTCTTTCTTTAATAAAGCGTTTACGCCTATTGGAGAGTTGAAGCATCACAATACTTGCATTTTAAAAACAGTTTGTGTACGAATTAGTATGAAAGATATTCTCATTACTTGTACAACGACAGGCGAGGTTACATTGTGGGATGTATCTAATCCACTGGATAAAGAAATTGTGCCGTTTTTCACTACAAAAACTAATAAGTCTGGGATAAACTGTGTTGATACTAGAGTGCTATCCGATAAAGAATTTCTAATCGCCACAGGAGGTGATGACAATGCTGTAATTTTATCTCTGTTTGAAGTGTTATCTTCAAGTGATGCTTCTGTTAAGCACACATGGTGTACAGACAAGTACCACTGTTCGCAAATAACAGGAGTTAAGTTTGTCGAAGAGTTTTTGTTGACAACTTCCATCGACCAAAGGGTGACGTTGGCTAAATGGACTGTGGATGACGAAAGCGTTTCCTGCGAGTTTCTGACGCAAATCTTCAGTGACGTAGCTGATGTGCAGGGATTGGATGTCTTGAATTCTAATGGGTGAGTACTTTATATGATCCATATATCTACTATTATTTTAAATGGTATATTATATGTTAGGTATAGAAATAAAGCTTGGAAGGAAATATACTTCTACTTTTCTTTGTCGCAAAAGATACTTCAAAATGAAGATGAAAATTTGCATAAGAATCAAATGACTGCGCGCAGAAAAACGCTGCGAACATTCGTTAGTAAATTTAAAGGCAAAATTTCCTCATTCAATATCCTTTCCAGTAAATTAATTTCTAATTATTTTTCTATTAACATTACGAATTGTTTGAATGAATTGATCTTATGATAAAGTACGTCACATACTTCAGCAGTTTAGGTGTAAAAGCGTGACAAATACAGCTTTTTTGTGTAAAAAAGGGAGCAAACAAGCATAGGGCCCGCCTGACAGTAAGTGGCCACCATAAAAATATCACTCACGCCTAGGGTTACCATTTAGGAATTTCAAAAGTCCTCACGAAAATCCTGACTTTTCGAAAAAAGTTCGGACTTTGAGTCATAAAATGGTACCATTACTCACTTAGTTACAATCAGACCCGTCTTTCCCAGTGGGCACTTTGGGCAAGTGCCCAGGGCCCCGCGATCAATAGGGGCCTCCCTCAGCTCAAATACAAAGTCCCTAGTTCGTAGGGGCCCCATTATCCTAATATGCCCAGGGCCTCCAATAGGTCAAAGACGGCACTGGTTATAATGGTATGGTATTTACATCGATATGTACTTTTATTATTCACATTCAATGTAATTTAAAAAATCCTTACAATTTAAAGATCTGGACAAAGTCCGGACTACAGCCAATAAGTCCAGACTTATACCCGGATGGTAATCCCACTCACGCCGAACCCTGACCCAATCGATTTCGGAAGTTGTCGTGCACGCTCGCCTTACTTCGTTTCTCGCACAGCAGTCCATATCCTATATTATTGCGAAGTGCAGTTTCCTATATTGAGATAAAAGAGATTGATGATTCTTCTAAGTACAAATACAAACCAAAGTATTAATTAATAAGATTTCAAAATACCAATGGGCATTCAATGAAACAGTAACAATTTCCGAATTGATTATTGATAACTGATAAAAATTTTGCTATGAGAACTTAATTTGAAATAATAATGTAAATATTATTAATATTTTTTTTATATTATATTCAATAAATTATTAACTTTAACAAAATTAATATACTGTGTTTCCATTGCACGTCCTAATTAATGCTGAATAAGGGGTAAAATGCACCAAATTTCAATATTTTAAGGAATTTTAATCTTGCCCACGTGAGTTTCGGTTTCGGCCGAAAATGAAGCTACGGCCGAATATTCGGTTTCGGTTTCGGCCGGAAAACCAGTTTCGGTCGGACACTAAAATAGAGATACTTTTGAGTTGATAATATCAAGATATGCATGTAATGCGAAGAAACGGAGACAAGTATGGATTAAGCAACTTAACAGCATTTTTGTTACAGAGATTCTATCACTGTGTGTGTATATGGTAAAGGCTTGGAGGTGTTGAGGGTTCCGATCCCGGGTCCTCGCAGAACATAAACCGTTAGAAGCATACCTTTAAATGGATCACTACGCCTGTATTCTTGTGGCTGCTACGTAAGTTATGAATAAATATGATTAATATGTTTTATTCGATAATAGGGTATTTGACAGTATTAAAAATAAAGTGCCAATTATCAGCATCGGTGTTTAGAATGAATATTGGCAGAGGTTTCTACTATTTTTACAAAAAACATATTCATAATTTTACTAAAAACTAAATAGTTTTCTTATCTATTGTCACGTGACCCAAAACGCAAAAGCCTGTGGAGCCTTAAGGTTAAAGTGACATTACATTGAATCGTTTGACGTTATAATAACAATCGTGTGACGTCACACACTAGTAAGACGCCATATTGTACAGAGAAACGTTTTCGCGGCAACTTCGAATTATGGTCAAGCGCTTACCTATTACCGAATAAAAAAAATAAAAAAACATGAAAATGGAGTTTTTGATTTGGTTATTTTTACTGAAATACACAACAGAATGATGAATGTCCACTTTTTACGGATTTTAAATACATTAGTCAATAACTTGAGATCGTTTTCTAAAACTTGTCAAATACCCTATTAAGATGTTTTTCTAAATGAAATAATAAACATGGAAAAAGCCAGTGTTTTATATTCCGAAATGGATGGTCTTGCCGCAAAAATCTTAGTCGGATGTACAAAGCTATTTTAAGATGAAAATGGGACCGATTCCAGCTCAATTCTCTAAACCTAAAATTAAATGTGCCAACAGTTGTCTTAATTAGTTTGAAGTTTGAAGAATCATGCAAAATTCAGACCCGATGTTATTCACAATTTGGCTAAACAAGGTTTGAAACAGTGACGTGCTTATTTGTGTTACACCTGTGTAAGTTTATCAGTATGATTCAGAGTATGTGTTATCTTTTATTTCCCGTTGCACAAAAGGATTGAAGTGCATCAAAACGTTAAGAGCGCTCGTGACAAAAAAAAATTTGCTCAATGGCGCATGCTGTTAGCGCGTTCGTCTGCGATCGTTGTAAAGCAACTTTCGCAGTGGTCGGTCATTGGATGGGTGACTAAAAATTTCTATCTCGAGTTCCTCCGTGCTTCGGAAGGCATGTTAAGCCGTTGGTCCCGGCTGCATCTGCAGTCGTTAGCACCCGCCAATCCGCACTGGGCCCCCGTGGTGGGTTTTGGTCCAATCTCCCTATTCCATCCATAAGGAAGGCCTGTGCCCCAGCAGTGGGGACATTAAGAGGTTGATGATGATGACATAGAAAGTGCTCGATGAATGACACAAAGGTCAGTGATTGTGCTGACCTTTGTGACTTTTTGTGTCACGTAAAGCGAAGGTTAACGACTTTCGCAAAGAATTGTCATGAAATTTGTAACCGAAATCTCTATTTCGAGCTTTTCTGCATTTGAAATGGCCATTGATTCCCGCTGCGTGCATCTGTGGTTGTCGGCACATCTGTTAAAATGTTGGGTTCAGGCCTGTAATCTAAATAATTTGGACCTTTTTGCTGAAATCGGGTATCTTCCGGCTATTCCGATTCACTACGCTACGTTGTACCAGTAAATTGTGAAGTTTTTGTCGACCTCACTCATGTAAGACTAGAAAAACTTTACAATTATGTTATTTAGTAATAATATGCTTTGAGAAGATTTTCTTAAAGATATTTCACGAAAATGCTTTTTCATAACAAATTTTATAACTGATGTATATATCCTGATATCGGGGAACTCGATTGCGCAGCTGGTTAGCGCGTTTCCTTCTGCGAGAACGTTATCTCGCAGGAGGCAGCCGAGAGGGAGCGGGAGGATGATCCACTGGCCGCTCCCTCCCGCCAAAGAAGAGCGGGCAGGAGAGGATGAGTGCGTGGCCTGGCTACGCCCGTCCCATGACCCTGCCCGCGGGGATCCCTAGCTGGCCGGTACGGCGCATTGGTCCTATCTGCGCACGTCTGCGGGGTCCCCGCAATACCTCGGGAGACCCCTGCCGTGGAGCCCCGGCTAGGCCGGGAGGCTGCTGGCTGCGGAGACGCGGAAGAATCCCAAAACGGGGATCCCGCGGTTTCGCACTAAGCAGCTTAGAGGGTATTCGCAGGGTTTTTATCGGATATTATGCCGTAAAGCGCCCGTAAGAGTTACGGGGTCCTCAGTGGGCAGCCACTGTGGGGGCTCGTAAGGCTTGCGGGAGCCAGGTGTGAGGTCCGTTCGGCGGTGTGCCTCTTAAAGGCGCCGTCGTCTGTAAACTGAGTTTTTGCCTGCGTCACAAAAAAAAGGAGGTTAGCGCGTTCAGCTGCGATCGTTGAAGTTAAGGAACTTTTGCAGTGGTCGGTCATTGAATAGGTGACCAATAAACTTCTCTCTCGAGTTCGTCCGTGCTTCAGAAGGCACGATAAACCGTTGGTACCGGCTGCATCTGCTGTCGTTAGCACCCGCCAATCCGCACTGGGCCCGCGTGGTTGTTCATGGCCCAATCTCCCTATTCCATCCATAGGGAAGACCTGTGCCCCAACAGCAGAGACATTAAGAGCCTGATGATGATATATATCCACCTCTGACTTCAAAATTCACCCTATAAACCAGTGATTCTCAAAGTGGTCTATATCGACCCCTAGGGGTCTAGGACGACCTGCAAGTGGTCTACGTCAGCGAAAAAAACATTTGGGGGTCCATGAACTGAAAATGGGGGTCCACGATAATGGATCTCAACATACACTGATAGTACTTTACTTCCATTATGCTATCTTCTATTAAAAAGACATATACATTATTATTTATAAAAGTACCTATGAAATAATAAAAGATATTGTAAATATGTTTATAAAATTTTGTAAGTTGTAAGATGTAGGCATTCGCTTTGTGGTCGCAATACATTTGGAACTTGTATAAACCTGCACATAATGATAAGCCAGTATCTTGTTACACTAACTTCCCTCCAGATAGAAATTTACAAAAAATCGATATCAGGTAAGTAGGGGTCTACCCAAAACCTAAAAACATACAAAGGGTCTACGACACATAAAAGTATGGGAACCTCTGCTATAAACTGACGCTTAACCAGGCGATTTATGTAAGTAGATTACGAAGTTTTGGTAATCTTCTACGGCTTGATATACGCTGCTTTACTACAGGGATTCCATAGATACCCGCTCACATCTAGATAGAGACATATCTCTGTCGATCTGTCTGATTAGATATCTACCGCGGAATATATAATATTGCCTACCAGATGATATCACATCAGATTACCGCCGCCACCGATCCTTAGCACCAGTGTATTTAAACTTAGTTTTAAATAAAACATATTTGTGGATTACCAGAAATTGTAAGTGTGCTCTTATGTATTATTTTCGAACATATTGAATCCTGATTTACCCATTTTAACGATAATTCGTTTGAAATTGTCAAAACAGCTAAGTTTTTTTATTGGAGATTTCATATGAGGAGCTGGCGACCAAAACGGTATAATTTTTATAATATTATTTATTGACGTTTCGCAGCCTTTTCAGGTCTGCATCGTCAGAATAATAGCCGTGTATTAACCCGTTAAAACTAGTTTTATTTAATGAGTGATGTGCGTGTAAACCTAAGAAACAAATATTTAATAAGTAAAGTTTAAATGTAGGTATTGTAGTAACTGCTGATTAAAGGATTAGATTAGAATTATTAAAGATGTAACGGTAATGATTAAAGGTGGTGATTTTTTATGTTTTTGATCAGTGCGTTTTATCGGAGTTTGTATTATGTATCTGGTACTTCTTATCGGGCCACAAAAACAAAATACTTGTTATGAGTTTTATTTTTAAGCATGTAATTGCTCGATGTTTAAATCCAAAGAAAAAAATACTAGAAAAACATCCAATTTGCTGCCTGGTCCGCGTGAATTTTTGAAGTTATACTTCTTTAGGCGCGTTATGAAAAAATGATGAGAGTGAAATTTTAAGATGCGCGCGCATCACTGTAACACAAAATTTTAACAGCATGAATAACGACTGCATTGTGAAAGCCTATCAAAAGTATTTATTAATCTGGAACAACGGAACCAAAGCGCGATTCAGGAGACTACAGCGCCATCTCTTGACCATTGGTGTAGTAGAACCAAAAACCACATCTTTATTTTTTGTAATAAAGTAACAGTTTTATAGGGTATTCATATTTATAATATCAAAAGTATTTTTTTCTAATAATATTTTTTTATTATTTAAACATCGTAACTGCTCTATGTTATGCTTAAAAATAAAAATTATAAAAGTTATTGCTATTTCTTCTTTCAAATGTTTAATACTTGTAAAGGTGTTCATTTGACATTGTGGATTACCTACTATGCGAAGAGATGGCGCTGCCTTGCAGCTTAAGAAAGGCTAGAAAGAATTCGACACGGCCATCAGGGGCGTGATAGCATAATGGTTAGTATATTCGCCCGGATAGCGAAGGGGTGCGGGTGCGAGTCCCGTCTGCAGCCTGGTCCGTGTTTTTTTCTAGTAATATTTTCTTTGAAAATAATAGTTATTTTAAATGAAAAATACAAAAGGGTGCATCACTGAAATATTGTGATATTACACCAACACTGAATATGTGTGAAGTTATAGGGGGTGGTAGAGCGACGAGGGTGCATCACTGAAATATTGTGATATTACACCAACACTGAATATGTGACTGCAAATTGAAGCGGCGAAGCCTGTCGATATAATTAGGCAGTTTTTTCGCCATGTTGCATCCAAACGACAAATTCCATAAAAATCGTTTCTGGACACGTTCAATTTTTTTGACATAGATATCGTAATTGGGGTTCCATACTATACTAGAATATTCAAGGTTACTGCGAACTAAGGCCGTGTATATGGTGACTTTTGTTTTAGGGTTCGTGAATTGTCTACAGTTCCTTAACACAAAACCGAGAATCTTAAAACTTTTTTTTACGATATCATCGATGTGAATATGAAAGCGGAGTCTAGTATCCAAAGTAACACCTAAGTCACGGACCTGACGTTACATCCTCGTTGAACGCGGATAAAGATACCTCAAAATTTGCAATCATTTTCTGTAATTCGTGTATTTTTGGGTTAATTACTCCCACAAATGCGCTATGTATCTCTTCTCTTATTATTGTGCGTATGTCTTCGGCTGGCTAAGGAGATCCTTCGGTGGATGCAGGTCGACTCGATTTTGGGCGCTGGGTAACGAAGCTATTATCAGGAGTCGTGGATAGCTTAGTTCTCAGTGGTGTATTAGAGTTATCACCTTTTTTTGGTTCTCGCCTGCGACAAAAATCACAAACCCAGGCCCTTTCAACTCCACCGTCATTACTTTATAATCTGCTAGCGATTATGTAGTACATTGCAGATGATAATTATCCCCACAACGTTTACATTGCATTGATATTCCTTCATCCATGAGATTAGGGCACCCCGCGCATTTGAAAGAACCATCGGTAGACATGTTGACAGTATCGGTATTTAAACTTGTTATTTAAAAAAAAGTAATTTAAATTAAATATGCAAGTCCGTGAAAATTAAAAATAATTAAAAGGAAATAAAAAAGTTGTGTGTGTCAGCTCCGACGCACGACCGGAGTTTACACTCTAAAAACGATTGTCTTTGAACAGACACAAAACAAAATCAAGTCCGAAGAAGTCGGTTACAAGTAGAGATACCTCAGGAATCGTCCCATGGTTTCGACTATCATAGGTTCCATGTCACACATTTTATCATCTAACATCAGCGATATTCATCATATATTTTATTATCTATTTCTGGAAACACACAATTTCAAAAATATCACACACTAGTCATCATTTTGTAAATATGTATTATAATTCCATCTGTACTGAAAATCACTATTCCAGAGTGCTGGACACTTACCGGCATTTGTCTATATTCTGTTATTTATTTGTGTTCATTAATTTTGCTCCGATTTTATCTATTTTTAGTTTATTTATTTTATTGACATTTGTGACAACTTAATGTTTTTTATCCGTTGCCATGGCTAAAAGTGAAAGGTGCGCAGATGAGGTTGCGCACAAAAACGTAACGAGGTCATTAATGTCATTCATCGATAGATTTTACTCCTCACATTTTTCTCATACCAGGCCCCTTATATATGCAAATCGATTCTTAAGGAGTAAACTCCAAAAAAAAAAATGTGTGCGTGTACTAGTGTACACACGTAAGAAGTGAAACTTCTTTATGGCCTTATTTTTTTCGAAAAATGATCTACATGCAACTTTCCAGAAATATAAATATAGGCGTGCGCTAAGATTTTTCAAAAACTCACCCACTAAAGGGGTATAACTACACCTTACCTTACCTTACCTTACCTTACCTTACCTTACCTTACCTTGTGTGAAACACGATACTTTTTTTTTTGCTGTCGATACTTTTTTTTTAAAGTTGACAGAAGAAGCAATTGTTCGGATGAGGTAAATAGTGCTCTTTTAAAAAAAAGATGGCGCGTAACCAAAAAACGTGACGCGTAACCGAAAAATGTGACGGTAAATTTTTTTCCAACGCCGATAAAGAAGTTTCACTTCAATTAAAAAAAGAAATCTGATGCGTAGGTTTCGAACTGGAG